ACACACACACATACATACACGCACACAAAGTACCTAATAAAGGAAATAACTAACTAGTTTAATTCTCTCCTAAATTTTAGGAAATAGAATCATATGAGAATAACTCTTTTTTAAAATTAGGAAACAAAATCATAAGAGAATATCACTATTGATCTATATTTTTATTCCTATAAGTACTTTCCTAAAATAAAAACAGAATCATAGGAGAAAATCACAATTGATCTCTTTTTATTCTTAAAAATACTTGCCTAAATAAATTCTCTAATTTTGACTCTCAAAATTCAACACATAGCTATTGTAATTGCCACCCCTCCATTATATGAAAAAAACTCCCCTAGAACTAAAGATTAAAGGGTATATATTTGCAATATAATTTTGTTGATTATTGTTAAATTTGTTAAATCAAACATTTATTGATTTTATTTTTTTGTCAGAAGCCTCATCTGCATTCTTGCGCTTCTTCGGAAGTTTCATGACTATTCATTTCTTTTGTTATTTTTTTTATTATGATTAAGTACCTATTGTTAGTGGAGCATCCACTTACGGCTCAGTGGAAAAGATTGATTTACAATCGAGCTAGGAACAAGTTGGAAATCTTGTCTGCTGTAACTACTACATGTACATCTTTCTCTAGATAAACATGCAATGACCTATTGACTGATCACATTGCATGCCTTTGAAGCTGCTAATTTGTATCTATTGTTTGGTCTGTTTATGAATCAAATGGGCTGCCCTGCCCTGTGACAAGCACTGAACTGCAACTATGGTGTCGAGGTAGTGAATTAAAGTTTTGCTAACAAGTGATGGAAAATGTTGGAGGGAATCTAAAACAAGTTTCAAAGAAAAACAGCGCATATTGCCTTGGAAAACTGCACAAAATTGAGTGGTCTGCTTTATGAATAAAATTGGGAAATAGGCCAAATAATATCTAATATTTTCAATTGATGAAGGGACCTTGCACCTCGAGTTTTATGAACTTAATAACTGTGAACATCCATGGCAATTTTGCATCTATGCATTTAGAAAACCTTTTAATTGCATGAATGTTGGTGTCAAAAGCATTAATTTAAGCTTCTTCTTATAGGACCTTGAATTTTTATTAGTATACCAACCATAACTTTCCATTTATGACCATCCCCTGAATTATGGTTCAACATGAATTTATCAGACAAATTTTTCTAAAAAACCAATTTTGACTTTAAAGCTATTTTAATTAATCTTTTCATCTGTATTTTGTGTTCCTTGTGACTTTTTTATGAGGGTATGTAATTCATCTTCGCAGAAGAGCATTTTTCATCTCTATTATATTATGGACTTTCATGGAATGAGAGAATGAGAAATGTTTTTATTGGTTATTGATGTAATAACCTGTTGATGCGCACATGAGAGATAGTCCTACCCTCCTATAATTCCATTGTCTTTGGATGCACAAATCACATATGAACTCATTGTAGAAAGCTGAGTCAATTTGATGAAATGGAAACTGTCCTTAGATGTTCAAATCAAATACGAACTCATTGTAGAAAGCTGAGTCAAATTCATGAAACGGAAAATTGAATGGAAAGTCATATGAAATTATGAATTAACTTTTCTCGTCGACATTTTTAGTTAAGCTAACATGTTGCCCTTCAATGTGAAATATTTCACTGGTCGGTTGCTAGTTTCTGTTAGAAGTAATATTAGATCGTTTTTACATTCATAAAATGATAAAATCAAAATAGTTTTGCTTAATACTTTTCAAAGCTCAATTTTTCTTTGTATTTCTTGTCATATTGCCACTATCTACTTAGATTTTAGTAATTCGTTAACTTCTCCCTTCAATCTTTTCCCTTTTGCAGATCTAGTTCTTCACGCCAAGAGCATTCCAAGATTTTTGTTCATAAATATCTTGCTGTCAAATGGCATCCTCTATTATAAAACCTGGTTTGCTGGTTGCTTTACAGGAGCTACAGCCTTCTTCTCCGTTCTTTAAGGAAGGGCAATCTATTCGAGTTACTGGAAAGTTGGTAACGATGACCTTATATTTGTCTTCTGCAAAGTTCGTTTAAGCCATTCATCTTTGTAAATGTACATGTTATTTGATTTTTTTTTTCATGGCTTTAGTCATAATATTCATTATGCATGATGTTTTACATGGAATTGTCAAGACGTCAAAAGCAAGTTGTGGAGGACTGGTCAAGAAAACTTGATACCTTATTTCTAGCAACAATAATGTAACTCCCCAACTAAACCCACTCTTAAAATAGATTTCCTCAATTTGTGCGGACTATGTCAGCATGTGTACAATTCTTTTGCTTTTTTTATATGGGGACCATGTAGGCAACCATATGCAAAAGTACCTGTATACATAAAGTTTCAAAATCGTTGAAATTCTTTCACTCTAGCAATGTCACCTAAATCATTCATTTTTCCTCCCATAAGTTGGGTTAGATCCGGCTGGGTAGAATTCTTAAAGAAAACTCATCAGTATAATTCCCCTAAGATAATCATTTAATTATCTCAGCTTTACCTGAAGCTAGTGTTTACTTCATTTTAATAGCTTTAAGAAGCGTTGCGTGCGATTCTAGTAAATATGGCAGGCCTAAACTGAACAAGCTTCCTTTCTTTGATCGAACACTTTTTTTTTTTTTTTTTCATTTCTGTTGTTCATACAGAAGCAGTATGTGGCAAGTAATGCCACATAGAATTAATTTGTTTTATCCTCAAGAATTTCTGCATCCATCAGTGGATACGTTATCCTCAGCAAGAAATCCTCTCTGTGCATGCGTTCTAATCGGTATGTCGAGTATAATACGTTCTTCGATCATATTTGTAACAACATAATTCCTTAACTATTGAGAGATTTTGTCCGCTTTGGCCTAATAGCTTCATGATTTTTTCTTATTGATGTAACTTCAAGAAGGCCACCCATCTTAACAATGCTTTCGTATGAGCACCTATGATGCACCGACACTTCTTTTCAAAGAAGTATGTAGTGTATGACACGTATCCGACATGCCTCCGCACGTGTCGGGCATGAAAAAAAAATGTCCGATTAAAAAAATTATTAAATACAAATTGGACATGTGTCTTAAATTTTTTATAAATATAATTTAGTGTTTAATTTTTTTTATTTAAAATATAAAAACTAAATTTCTTATTTCTTATCCACAACACAAAATCAATCTCCCGCACTCAATACCTCATTCATCAAATATTCTCATTTTTGCTTCTCTTTGGTGGGTTTCGACTTTTGTTCACAGTAATGACCGATGTCATTTCAATATTGACGTCTGACATCGTTATAACGTAGACATTTCAAAATCATCTCAATATCAAAGTATAACACTGTCTTGACATTGATGCTCGATGCTAACAATTTCTTGACAACTCATCCTTGTTCGACATCGACGCCCTCTTGACATTGACGTCCGCTACTTATTGCATAACATCGATGCCCAACTCTCGACAGCATTGTCATCTCCTCTCTCGATGCCTGATACACGGCATCGACACCCGACTCTCGATATCCTAATATTAATCATTTTAAACACCCGACTCTCGATATCCTAATATTAATAATTTTAAGCAAAAAATTTAGTTAAATGACTTATTATTTCTAAATTATTGTTAATATTATATTTATTCAATTTTTATATACTATTTTTAAAATATAAAAATTATAATGTTATGTCCAACCTGTGTCCTATATTTTTAATAATTGACATGTCCCGTGTCCATGTCCGGTCGTATCCAAGTTGTGGCGTTCGTGTCTATGCATCATAGATGAGCACACATACTTTTGGATTGTCTAAAGAATTCCAATAGTTATACTAAAGGCATATCGATAGTTAAGAGTTTAGCTTCATTTTATTTAAGGTTTCACGATATTTTTGCTATATTTCTTCTTTTTGCATACATCAAACTCAATTCTTTGAGCACTGAAGCACTAAAAGGTGTAAATGTTGCCCTCCAGGTTACAGTCTTACAGCGTTGAAAGTGCCATTGCAATTATAGTAGACGGTGGCGCTACACTTCTTATTGACACCCAGCATTTAAGAGACATCAACTTCCGCATCAATTCCATCTATCAATTCATTGGCGAGCTCCTGATTCCACATGATGGCCAAGTAAGTCTTCAATAATTAGTGCACTGCTTCTTGCACCCTAGGACCAGGCTGGCCAGTGGGCCCATACCGCCCCCTGGTCCTAGCAGCATTAATCTTTATGCTAGAAACTCATTTTTGGTCCACCTAAAAAATGGACTCTATATATATTTTTTTAAATACAAATTATATCAAGATGAGTTTCAAAACTCTTATATTTACTTTTTGAGGCGAATATAACATATTGATAATGAATCAACTGTTGCATCGCTCATCTAAAAGTAAATTCAAAGATCTTAAAACTAATTCTGATATGCCACTGATATCATCATACTTCTTTTGTTCTATTTTTTATGTGAATTTATTTGGGGAGTTGTAGCAATACAACAACAACATCAAGCCTTTATCCCACTATATGGGGACGGCTACGTGAATCTTTTTTTTCCATTATGCCATGTTAAAAGTTAAATTCTTATTTAAATCTAATAAAGAAAGATCAGTTTTAATATTTTCTAACCAAGTATTTTTTGATCTACCTCTACTCTTCTTAATATAAGTCTAATCTAATACATCTACTTTCCTAACCGAGTCATCGGATGGCTGCCATTTTATGTGATCAAACCATCTAAGGCGACTCTCTCTAATCTTATCTTCCATTGGTGCTACTCCAACCTGTTTATTTATATGATCATTTCGTATCTTGTTTCTAAGAGAAAAGCCACCTGAGCATCCTCATCTCTACAACACTCAACTTAATATTATGCTTCTCTTTTAATGCCAACATTTTGCACTATAAAGTATTCAGGTCTAACCACCTTCTTATAAAATTTTCCCTTAAGTTTGAGGGGGACTTTTCTATCACACAGCAAGTCCGATGCATTCCTCCACTTCAACCATCTAACTTGAATTCTACTAACAATACCCCTCATATATTTCACCATCACTCTGAACAATAGACCCAAGATTTCTAAAACGTGTACTCTTATTAATGACTTGATCACCCAAAATCACAACCCCTTCACTAGAATTATTATTACTAAAATTACATTCTATATATTCAGTTTTAGGTGTACTCAAACGAAAGCCTTTAGACTCTAAGGCTGACCTCCACAATTCAAGTTTAAACATTTCACTCAATGCTAATCTTAAATCATTTCACGCAGCTCATCTTGATCTGTTGGTTGGGAGCATTGGCTACCAATTAAGAGGTCCTGAGTTCGAAGCTTGCATATGATGTGTGTGTGAGTTTGCCTTAACTTGCTTATATGTCCCCAAAAAATCTTAAATCATTCCAAAATTTCTGTGAAGTTACTTGAAAAGGACTCCTTATGCTTCTTCCCATCCAAAACTTACCTCAAAACTCCTCTTTTTATCTTTTCATTGCAGGTGGTACTGAAGGCACGCATAGGAAGGAATGTGGATGGCATTGATCTCAACCTCTACCACCAATCCATCCGGCTTCGACGTAAATTCGAAGCCGACATTGTGAGATCGAAAACAACCTAATCAATTTTTCTGTAGTCTTGATCTTTTGAAACCTCTTAAAGGTTAGACTTTTCAAATACTTGAACAAAAGAGAAGTTTCAGAGCAAGCAATGCCATTTCTTGAGCTTTCTCCTTTGCCTTTCTGTTAAGTGTAAAATAAATGCAGTAGATTATTTTTTGGTGGGTAGTTTGAAGTAAAAGGAATTTAGAATAAAGGTGATGTTGGTTGGTAATGCAATAGCTAGGCGATGATGGACGACAGTGGCAATAGCAGGTGGTGGTGGTGGTGGTGGTCAGAGTTGACGTTGGCCGACAATAGTGATAGCGATGGTTCTGATGAGCGTTGGGCGGTGATGGTGATGACTGTTGTCAATGGTGATTCACAAAAATTTCTGTGGTGTATATCATATTAGTTCATTTTGAAATTCATACAAAATAAATAAGGTGAATTTTAATTTTTTAAAAGTTTACTCGATATTTCATTAAATTAAATCAAATGCCAACTTTACCAAAAACTCAATTTTATCATAGAAATTTCTGAAAATCTGTAAAAAATTATAATAACGTGCAAAATAAACTTTGAAAACCTTTGAGCATATTCGAATATAATGCTTGCGTAAATGTAATGTGAAAATATTTATATGTCAAAGCCTTTGCTTTATATAAGGAAAATTGCAATATTGTTTTTTTTTTATTACACTTTTTGTCGGCAAACCCGAGATGAAAATCAAGTAGTCATGCAAGTTGCTTTGAATTGATATCAGATGTATCATGTGAAGATTGACCCTTTGGTAGATGGAATCCAGCCTTCTCTTTTGAAGGAAAACAAATCATGTGGGATGCAGCTCTTCTTGGTTGGACAGATTATTACGTGTGGAATTCGGATTTAGAATAATAACTACGTTTTTACTATTCATAATTATAAAATCGTATGATTCTCTGGATCCGGAATTTGCACGTAATAATCTCTCTTGGTTGAGAGTTTGAACTATCAATTATGAAATTTTGAATCTGTGTGCAAGTAATGTCTTAATTTTCTTAGCAATTTTAAGAAAATTTATATAAGACTACTCATTGGTAAAATAAATTAAGATAAATTTTAATATTTTGAATTTATATTAAAATTAATCTTACATGTGATATTTCGAATTGTATTAATTTTAATATAAATTCAAAAAAAAAAAAAATCAATTCATTCTAATAAATTTAGATCAAAATACTATAGTATAACTTTTATTTTTTATTTTTATATCAACTAAAGGTCAAATTAGCCTTCATAGCCATTTGACCGTCTATTTTTTGAAACTTGCATTTTGCATTAATTTAAAAAATAAGAAGTGTGCAATGTGGTACTCACATATAAGAAGACTCATGATTATAATTGATAGAATAAAATTATTTGTTTTTTGTTTACAAATTAAACTAATTCAAAATTAATGAAATAATTGTTATAAAATTTCTCATAAATTAATAATAATTGTTGCCCACTAGAATATACGCGGCGATAGAGTTAGAAAATTTTCGTCTCAGTATTGCATGGATATCTAACATACAAACAGAGGAGAAATAATAACACCAAGATTTTTACGTGGAAAACCCTAGAAAGGGGAAAAACCACGGGGCTATGCCCAGTTGAAATAATTTCACTAGTGCATGTTTAAGGTACAAGAGGTTGACTCATTCTTAAAATTTAGGACAATCATATTACAATGCTTCACTTCCAGATTGAAATCTAATTACAACGTCTGCAGAGTTTTGGCGTCACTTGGAGATCGAGCAGAATTCCATAGTTTGGAAGTCGAGCAAAATTCTGACGTCACTCACGCGTCGAACAAAACTCCGGCGGTGGTCGTGGAGGAGATTTTTCCTTCCAATCATTCACTTCTTCTTCTTGCTTCCTTGGTCCCCCCCTCATGAAAAATGAGAGGTCTATTTATAGATATTATGGAGTGGCATGACTTGTAAATAGGTGAGAGATCAGAGGTAAAAGGGAGTGGTCGGATGGACGGCCGATATTGAATCCCTTGGTCATGTACCGTTTGTTAGACATTTGAAGGTCTTAATCATGTCGGAATTTTGCGATCTTGGGTTCGTTGGATTCGTCTCGTTGAGCCGCTCGATTCGACTATAAGAACATCATATTTAGAAACCGTTTGGTAACTCAAATTGTGGTTTGAACTTTCCAATAACGCTTTCGGTGCTTGATTTGAACTTATTTGGGCTCAGATTGAGTCGATTTTGGTGTCGTTGAGTTCGTATTTCCGAGAAGCTCAGTTTGACTAAAAGTTCGCTGAAATCATAGTTTAGGCAATCCCAAATTTAATTTTTGAAATTTCCAGCTTTATTTTGCCTCGAGATTTATGCCGGATCAAGATAATTTTTAGATGATATATCAATAATAATAATAATAATAATAATAACTTTTGGCATTGGAATTAGTGGCCATTGCATTGGATGAAGGCCAACAAATAGGAGCCCAGTTTATTTCTCTTAGATTAAAGGGAAAAAACAAAGGATGAATGGATTTGGTGGCTTGCCCCTTAATCCTGATTTATTTATGGTAATCGTCGCAGCCTACAACTTGTGCGTTTGAATTTTCAATTCCGAAGGGCGGTTCAGTTGTTGGAATATTTGTTGGATTATTTGAGGAGGACTATCTCTAACATTATTAATTTAGGGTTTAGAACTCAAATCAATCAAAATCACATATATTTGATTCACGTTCTCTAATAAATAATAGTAGACCTGACCTGATCATTTGACCTAGACTTCTTATGGGCAACTTTCTTATTACTTTTTAAAATAATTTTTATACCCACCGTTGCTTAATTTGGTTTGTGTCCGAGTACAGTTGGAAAACTTCTAACCCGTGCTCGATTCCCCTTGAGCGGCAGCGCCTCTTAAGTGAGGCCCAATCAAGTGCAGGGTATGAGGTTTCTATATATATTGGGAAATATATAATGTATATCAGTTTATAATTAATTTTATTATAAATTTTTTTTTTGTTTAAAGATTTATATAATATGTAAATTTCATAAATTTTGTTCCTTAGTCAATAATTTTGAAATTCATCGTGAGGCAATTTTCTCACATTCCCAAAGTACCTTGTCCGTTCCTCTTCTCCGCTGCCCCGTCTCGGGGATCCTGGGGGTTATAATAGTAATTAATCATCTTGTAATCCCCGCTACCGCCTACGGCTTATCTCATTCCGGTAAAACGATAAGAACCCCGATATCGCGATGAATGGATTCGATCGAACATTATGCTTCGTTGGCAACTATGGCTACTACGGCGGACTCCGTCGCGAGCCGCGAGGGAGTAGGTCCAGGCGAAGGAAATCCGATTTGTATGGCGGAGATAGTATTTTTTCTTCACTTCTCAGCCTCATAGTTGCTTCACTCCGAACCAAGTGCTTCTGCTGGCTGCTGGTTCTTCTTCTTCTTGTTCTTTCTCTTTTTCCCCGAGGTGAAGCTGAGATGGAGTGGGTAGATTTGTAGTGTTTGTTTTGGATTGCTTTGAGGAGTTGGAGTAATGAAGCATCTATTTTCGTTGATAAATGGGTGGGCAAAGGGTCTGTATTTGAGCAGAGGGTGGGGGGAGGCGGTGGAGGAGGGAAGAGAAGTGGCGGATGAGCTGTTGATGGAGGCAAGGAGGAATAATATGATACTGAAGAATTCGGGAACGGTTTGTGGAGAAGGATCGAATTGCTTCGCGGCGGCTTGCTCGCAGAGAGGGGAGAAAGGGGTCAATCAGGATTGTTCTATTGTTTGTGAGGTGGTACTCTGTTCTTCCTCGTTAATCTTATAAGGAATTGGGTTCTTTCTGTTTTTTCTAGTCTGGTTCCAAGTTGAGTTTATATTGTTGCTTCTTCACTCTTAATCAGCCGGAAAACGAAGGTATAATTAATTTTTACGTTTTCTTACTAAGATCTGAAACTTCTTTATTCTAAATTTTAATCGATTTAGGAATCGCTGCTTTCATTTTTTGGTTTGTTGCTTTCGCCTCTTGGTTTTATTTGTAGGTGTTTATGTTATTTTGGCGATGAAAGTTTTGCTGGGTAACAGGTTGGAATCTATGTGTTTCACTTGTTGGTGTTTTTATGGTTCCACCACGATGAGGTCTTATTATTGTTTTTTTTTTTAATTTCAGGTGTAAACATTAATCTTCGAATTTAACCAGGAGTTGATTTTTGAAGGTTCCGTATCTTCAGTATAACCTTTAATGGATCGTACAGAACCATTTCCAAATTATAATAACCCGCAAATAATTAAACACATGGCATCAGCATTCTAATGAAATTTAAAATGTAATCTTTTGGGTTTACTCATCTTCTTGGTAAGAAAAGTAGCCCAATTTTGAAAGGCGACCTTGTCAAATATGATTTTTAATTTGCATGAAGTTTCGATTTCGTAAGTTGGTTTTTAGATGTAACATTGTGTGAGCGTTTCAACGATCTGAAAACAATTTACTTTCCTTTTTTACCTGCAAATCTATTATAGATCTTTTCTCATTTCTCTAAAGTATGTTTGTGTAACTGTTTGATTTGACTTCAGGAATTTGGATCCCAAGAAGACATGATATTCTGTGGGATATTTGATGGTCATGGTTCTTGGGGACACTACGTGGCTAGAAAGGTCCGGAAATCCCTTCCTGCTTCTCTGCTATGCAACTGGCAGAAAGCTCTTGCTTTGACCTCCCTTGACGGTAATAGTACAAGCATCTGCCATTCCGAAATATGGAAGGAGTCATTTCTAAGATCTTGTGCAGCCATAGATAAGGAGCTCAAGGAAAATCCCAAGCTAGATTCCTTCAATAGTGGCACCACTGCTCTGTCTATTGTTAAACAGGTTGGGAATAAACTACGTATATGTTTCGGTTTTTAAGTTTATCGCTTTGATTGAAGATGGGTCGTCTTTTGGTTTGCTTATTGAAATTATATAGCTCCTGATATTAACGTTTAATGTTATTGCTATGAGTTTAGTTGGTTCTATGTTTTTATTGATGAATCAGTTATGTATTTAATAGACCTTCCCCCTAAGGGCTTCTCCAGCCAAACTCCAAACGGCTGTAAGGCGTACCTGGTTTGTTCCATTCGAACGGTAAAAAAATTACTAATTGGTGGAAGGTGAACAGTGCGAAATCAATATTGGCGTTGCACTACATATTTGCCCAAGAAACTCGCGAAAGAGGAGAAAGACTGTTACCTTTGTAGAAGGGCTCAAAATGGAATTCGATTGGAGATGAATCATGACATTTTTTACTTTCACGGCATTTTGGAGTGAAAAATAGAATTTTCAGTCGGAGATGCCCTAAAGAAAGAAGGACTTTTATTGAGAAATTTAGAAGTTAAAATAGCTCTTAATAGACTTCCCTTCCTTTTTTTAGAATGCTTTTATGCGGAGTCCTATGCATTGACTAGTGCATTATAAATTTCTCTAAACTGAATTAGAAAATTTTCTCGAAAATATTCTAACAGAATCTGATCAGTATATGTGGGTGTTCATTTTTCCATAGGGCCAACTATTGGTTATAGCTAATGTTGGGGATTCCCGTGCTATTATGGCAACCAGAGCTGATGATGGTCGCTTAGTTCCTGTCCAACTTACCGTTGATTTCAAACCTAATTTACCACGTAAGTTTTCACCTTCACTATATCATCGCGGAAGGTGGTGGCAGTTCTAAATTCTATGTCACTTAAAACAGTTTCAACAAACTGTTATAATCTATTAAACAAAAGTTAGATTTAGGCTTCTTTTTGGACAGCTTTCTCCTTGCTTTCTAAAACGTTATTTTAGAAAGTATTAAGAAAGCTGTCCCAAACAAACACTTAAGGATACTAATGTACTAACGCATCAACACTATGTTTGTAGAGGAAGCTGAACGAATAACTCACTGCAATGGTCGTGTGTTTTGCCTGCGAGATGAACCTGGTGTGCATAGGGTATGGCTACCCAATGTAGAAATGCCTGGGCTAGCAATGTCAAGGGCTTTTGGAGACTATTGCGTCAAAAACTTTGGGGTCATCTCTGTTCCTGAAATCACTCAAAGGCTTATATCTGGAAGAGATCAGTTTATTGTACTTGCTACGGATGGTGTAAGTAATTTATTTTTTTGAAGAACCTTGATTCATATTTGTTATTTGATTCTGCCCAATTTTATTATGGAATTAATGTTATTGGATTTCTCACGGGCAACCATATAAATTTTTATATTAATATTAGTAATTAATCATCATTAAATTGCAATAATGTATTAAAAATTCTCTAAGTTTGCTTAGCGGTATTGTGGTTTTTGTACTTTATATTTAATATTTAATATTTAAATAAATCCGAAAATTACTAAAAATTTTCCAAACCATTGTTCTTCTTCATTAGTATAGAATCAGTCCTAATGTTGTGAATTTTTATTAAATTATCTTCATTTAATTAATTTGAATCGAATTCATAAATTTGGGAATGATTTGGGTAAAACCATAATAGATCTCAACTTTGACCACTTTGATGCAAAGAATTATTGGATTTATATTTATTACAAGGAATAACATATTATTAAGGCTTTGCTTTTTAAAACGGAGTTTTAGTACAAAATTAAAAAATTTTATACTAAAATTCCGTTTTAGAAGCAATAAAAAAACCGTCCCAAACGAAGCCTAAGTTTTTCATTGAACTAAAGAATCAAATTAGGTAAACTTTTGATTATCTTAGTTCAGGGCTTGATTTTTCATATCAAAATAGAGATTCCTACTAAATTTAATTGCATATAGAAATCCTTGCAAAAGGAGCTATCTATATTTTATTTCAACGGAGATTTGGTGATCAACTGAATACATGGAGTGTAATTTTAATAGTAATAGGTCTAGTGAGAGGATTGTAACTTTAGGCGATCAAATCATTAATAAGATTACATGTTTTAAATATTTTGTATTTATTATTCAGAGTGATGGTAAAATAGATGGAGATATTATCAGTAAAATTTAAGTTGAATGGTTGAAGTTGAGGAATGCATCGGACTTGTTGTGTGATAGAAAAGTTACCCTCAAACTTTACATATGTAGCTTAGGCTTAGTTTGGGACGGTTTTTTTACTGCTTCTTGAAGTAGTTTTTTAGTATAAAAATTAAAATTTTTATACTAGAAAACTGCTTCAAGAAGTAATAAAAAAACCGTCTCAAACGAAACCTTAATTTCATTGTTCTTTGTGCATGATTAGAAATCTTTTTGAATGGAATCGCTCAGAAGATTAAAAATTTTCTGAAACATTATAATATTCAGTTTGGATTGTTTTCCGTCAGGTTTGGGATGTAATCTCCAATCAAGAGGCTGTAGATATTGTTTCCTCAACCAAAGATCGAAGAAAATCAGCCCGACGGCTCGTCAAATGTGCAGTTCATGCATGGAAGCGTAAGAGGCCAGCCATCGCACTTGACGACTGCTCTGCAGTATGCCTCTTCTTCCATTCCTCCCATCCTGAGCCTATCTATTCTACCATTCCTCCAAGTTCTAGAAAGGCATAGCAAAGATCAGAGGTACTTCATTCATGTTCTTCTCTGTATGCTTCCTCCTTCATCCTGACATGAATCCTCCCAGTGTTAAATCTTTATCCTGTTGTGATAAAGCAGAGGATTAATGTTCTTTTTTGATGTTCCATAATAATTTTCAATAATTGCTGATAGTTCTATGTAGTGGTTACAGAATCTCCTTTTCCATTTTGCTTAGTGGCTCTTTACAATAAAGTTAGTTGTCAATATCTAATAGAAAATGGTGAATGATTTGGTATAGCCACATAGAAGCCTTTCAACACACAACTCCTAATGATTTGATCTATAAAGAAACGTGGCTATAATTCATGATTCATTGCTTTCCCTAAACCATAGGGAATGGATTGCTACTCAGATAGGCTTTAATTAAAATAACCATTTGCATCAATTTTTTTTGGACTTTTAAGCTTGTTACTCGTGCATACATCACATACGCTTCAAATTTAAAGTCTTTTGATTGATTGCTTAAGCTCGCAACTAACAAATTCAGATGCACCGCATTAAATTGTAACTTCAAACAATAAGTAATTAAAAATATATATATTCTTGGACTTGTAAGCTGATTAAGGCTTCATTTTGAACGGTTTTCTTGCTGCTTTTTAAAACGAATTTTTTTTACAAAAAATTTGATTTTTTTACAAAAAATTTGATTTTTTTACTAGAAAGCTGCTTTAAGAAGCAGTAAAAAAGCCGTCACAAATGAAGCCGAAGTCAAACTCATACATGCATCACATGCGCAAGCTTCAAATTCAAAACTTCTTGATTGATAGCCAAAGTTCTTAATCAACATATCAAAATGAGATGCATTATTAAAATTATATTTACCTCTCCTTATATTTTATTGATATGAAATTTAGATTTTTATGATATTTTAGATTGGACGAATTTTAAAGATTTGAATGATGAAGATGACCATTATAAAATAGAAAAATCAAAATATTATGAAAATAATAAATTTATCCCTGGAAATTTTCAGATATGCCCTTAAATTTTAGAACTCCTTGAGGGTTAGGTAAGGGAGAGCTCATACAATGATTGAGGTGAAGCTCCACAAATATTCAAATGATAAGTGTTGTAGATTCTACAGCATTAAATTTTGAATGACCTTTTGGGCATCCACGTGTAAAATATTAATCACCACTTACAAGATATTATTCGTACGAACACAATTTATGTTTGCAGTGACTTGACGTGTCAGCATAGTCATCGATCAATTATGAGGGCACTATGTGTGTGGGCCCATATCACATATGTTCCTAAAAATTATTAGAGAAGAATCAGAATAAGCCACGTTATTTTTTTTTTGCGCCGCTGTGTATCAGATGACATGACGTATTCTAATTCGTCTCCGGACAATCCGATGCCCGCACATAATAATTTCTACATTAGTCTGGCCTCAATTTATAAATTTGTTGTTAAATTTTGGTTGAGCTTAAAATTATCTATTACAAATCTCATTATGTTAATTTTAAAATTTATTTTAATATTATTTATATTCAAATATTCTTGCATTTTTTTATTGATAAACATTATTTGTTTAGAGCGGTCCCTTTGCATGAGGGGTGTAAACTAGTCGAGCCGAGCTCAAGTCACACGAAACTCGAGTTGACTCATCACTCAAATAAATAGCTCGAGCTGGAGTCAAGCCCAGAGAACGAGTTCGAAATAAACTCGAGCATTCATACTCAAGCTCGAGAGCCCAACTTGATATATAGTCACGGTGGGATTTATTGAAGGCTACTGCAATTGAGTTAAACCTCACGGTTTTTTTCGTTTGGATTCTTTTTTTCTTTTTTAGAATTACGATGTCTCTTACAATTTTCACTTTGTTGTGAGATAGATATAAGCCCTAAACTACTTTATTATTGTTGCCTCATGGAATATTCATGGCAGTAGAGAAATATATAGTTTAACGTCTTAGCATTGTACGAAGATCAAGCACACAAGAAGATAAGAGATAGATAGTAGCATTCATAAGAGACACCTAAGTTTTTACGTAAAAACCCCTGAAAAGGGCGAAAACCATGGGGCTTAGCCCAATTTGAATGAATCCACTAGTATTTGCAGTCGATTACATATGAGGCCCTTCTTAGGGAGAAGGTCTTGACTTGATGTTAAAATGTACGTCATATAGAGCGCATTACATGGTGGAAGTTACAGTAATCAACATAGACATGTTTATTTGGTTGGAAGGGTCATAGTTAGCATGGGACAGGGGTCCGAAAGATTGTAGTTGACCGAGGTCCGAAAGACCGTTGCAAGGTGATAGATGTCGGAAGAACCATAATCGGCAGGAGACAGGGGTCTGAAAGACAATAATAGAAATGAGACCGATGTCAGAAAGACCGTTGTCTGGTGATGGAGGTCAGAAGGACCATAATCGACAGGAGACAGATGTCCAAAAAACCATAATAGAAGGGCGGACTCCAAGAGACAGGGGTTTGAAAGACCATAGTAGAAGGTCGATACTCCAGGAGAACTCTCGGCGTCAAGTGGTGGACCGGTAGAAGTCCGAGTCTCGGGTTCTGGTCTGGTAGAATTCTGAGTTTCAAGTGGCTGTCCGGCAGAAGTCCGGGACCAAGGTGGTGGTCCGACAGAACGCCAGGCGTCAGGTGCTGTCCTGGTGGAGCTCGGGGCCTCAAGTAGTGGTCCGGCGGAAGTCCGGGCCTCAGGTGGTGGCCTGGTGGAGCACAAAGTCTCAAGTGGTGGTCCGGCGGAAGTCCGGGCCTCAAGTGATGGTCTGGCGAAGAAACGATATCAGGCGGTGATCCGGCGGAGGTAAGTGCTTTAAGCGGTGGTTCGACGGAACAATGACGTCAGGCGGTGGTCCGGAGGTGGTGAGGGATTCAAGTGATGGTCTAGCAGAGCAATGACGTCAAGCAGTGGTTCGACGGTGGTCCGACGGAGGTGATGGCCTCAAGTGGTGGTCCAGCAGAGCAACAGTCCGGCGGAGGTGCGGGCCTTAAGTGGTGGTCTGACGGAGCAACGACGCAGACGGTGGTTCGATAAATTTAAGGGCCTCAAGTGGTGGTCCGGCGGAGGAGAGGGACTCTAGTGGTGGTCCGACGGAGCAACGACGTTAGGCGATGGTCCAGCGGAGGTGAGGGCCTCAAGTGGTGGTCCGGCGGAACAACAATGTCAGGCGATGGTCTGGCGGAGGTAAGGGCCTCAAGTGGTGGTCTGGTGGAGCAAAGACATCAGGCGGTGGTTCGAAGGAAGTGAGGGCCTCAAGTGGTGGTCTGGCGGAGCAACGACGTCATGTGGTGGTCCGGCGGAAGTCGACGGTGGTTGAGGAGGAGCTTCTTCTTTCTCTTCCTTTTCTTCCTCCTCTTCTTGACTAGATCCCCTTTTCAAGAGAAACGAGAGGTCTATTTATATATTTCTGGAGTGGCATGGTCCGTAAACAGGTGAGAGATCAAAGGATAAATGGGGAGTGGTTGGATGGACGGCGGATATTGAATCCCTAGATTGTGGACCGTTCGTCAGACATTTGAAGGTCTTAGTGATGTCGGAATTCAACGATCTTAGGCTCGTTGCATTCGTCTTGTCGAGCCGTTCGATTTGACTATAAAGATGTTATGTTTGGAAATCGTTTTATAATCCAAATTGTTGTTTGACCTTTCCAACAGCGCTTCTAACTCTTGATTTGGACCCGTTTGGGCTCGGATTTGGTGTCGTTAGGTTCGTATTCCCGAGACGCTCAGTTTAACTATAAGTTTGCTAAAATAGGAGTTCGGATGGTTCCAATTTTAATTTCGGAAGTTTCCAATTTGATTTTGCCTCGAGATTCATCCCGATCAAGATAAATTTTTGATGATATATCAATTATAATTTTTATTAACATAAATTAATATTAATTAAAATTGACTTTAAACACTCAACTTTAAAATTAAAAATAAACCAAATTTACCTAAGGCCTTTCCTTTATTGTTGAGTGAGATAAATAGTGCCTAAAATCACTGCAAATAGAAAAGTTTCTACCGAAAATCGCGCATTTACTAAAAAAGAAAAAAAAAGAAACTCAAAGTGTAAAAAAAAAAAAAAAAAAAAAAACTCAAAGTGTAAAAACCATAATTGATGAGAAAATATATAACTTTTTAAGTAATAAAATTTTAAAGTAAATTTTACTATTCTCTAAATTTTAAAAGATGATTCTATATAAATTTAGAATCAATTTGAAATAGCTGTATTTTTTTTTATAAAAATGATTATAAAGTTCTCGTTAGAAAAAATATTTTTTGATAAAGTTATTATAAAAAATATCACACGAATTTTATTAAATATCAAAAGCTTTGAAAATTCAGAACTGATCCATAAAGATTCTTAGAATATAAATGAAATCGCATAAATTTGGGAAAAAGAACGCTGAGTAAATGAATTATACATTTTGGTAAAGATATTATTTGATAATTTATTAAGCTTCTTAAAATTTTGAAATCCTTTAAGTGGTTTAAAAACTGTGAAAGTTTTGAGAAATGTTTTCAAAAAAATATGAAAATTCATTTTCCATCGAGAAATCATTTTCTTGAGAAGTGGTAAATAATTTGCATGCATTACTTGTTTTTTTAATTATAGAATTATAAATTCTCATTAATTTTGCTAAGAATATGCAATATTTTCTTTATGCATTTATGTCATTGCACAAAATTATGTTATGTAGGGGGGTGTCAATATTTGATTCGATTCGAAATCCGATCAGAATCCGATCCGAAAAAATTTCAGGTACGGATCAACCTTTTTACCTGACAGGTCGAGTTCGGATTTCGTTTCAAATATGTTTACAAAGTTAAGTCGGGTTCTGAGTTGACCCGAAAACATAAAATAAACCCGATTAAACCGAAATCAACCCAGTCTGCACTCTGCTCCCCGGCAGTTTGCATCGGTCCGACCCGTCCAGTGTCGAGTTTGGGTTTAAGCTTCTGAGTGCTGCGGCGTTAGCCCTAAACCTATTTGGGCTTCCGGCAACCCTCACGCATCGGTCTCGCGTCCGATGTCCCGCAGGACACGCACCCACGCCGTGAGCCTCGCCTAGACGGCCGGACCCGCCCCGGCGCAGCGCGTCTTGTCACACCGGCACTTGCGCCTGTGCCCTACCTGGACCCGCCACCTCACCTGCGCCTCTTGTCGCACCGGCACCCACGGCCGTCAGGCATCAGCCCCGCCCAAACCAACGCCTGCTCGCCTTGTTGCTGCCTTAACCGCTACCTTGCGCCGCCCTGACGCACTCGAGCTGCATGACATTTTTATTTTCACTTTTTTTTTAAGAGTGAAAATAATGTCTTTATTTACAAAAAGAAATATGTTTATAAATTTAAAATTCATATTTATTTCTGATTAAACAAACAATTATCGTAATCTAGACCCTTAAGCTTTTTTTTTTTTAATGGAGTATCCACCCGCTATAACCCCCGAAAGGGCGCTTGGCGGCGTGACTAATCCTCGACTAATCTAGAATAATTACTCACCCCATAAATCTATTGGCCGGCGCTTGATTATGCCCCACTTAAGAGGTGCAACCACTCGAGAGGAAATGAGCACGATTTGAGAGGTTCCCAATCATATTCGCTCACCAACCAAAATAAGCAACGATGAATCATAATGGGTTTGTTACTTGTCCTAAAAAAGCTTAACAAATTTCTAACATCCACAAGTGGGCTTAAATGGCCATTAAAGTAACAGCCCTGCAACTGCAAAGTTTCTCAGATATGTTGTAATTAGGTGCTTATCCTTTTGTAATACTTTATTAAACATACATAACAAATGTGTTAGCCCTTTGGAGAACCTTGTTTAATATGTAGCTGACCAATCATCATCATTTTATAGAATCCTTAACAATATTCACAATCAAAACCTTCAAATAGCTTTTAGGACCCGTTTGGGATGATTACTATTTTTTATAAAAATAATTATAAAATTACAATGGAGAAATAACTTTTTAAAAGCTGCTGTAAAAAATAATATCCTAATACAAAAATATGTTAAAAGCAATAAAAAAAAAAGCCAAATAAAAACTACAGTTGAAATTTGAAAATTAAAACAATAAAAAAATTATCTCAAATAAACCTTAATTTACAAAAGAATGACATAAATTTACAATTTTTTTACATCTTCTCAGGTGCTTTCCTTCTTTTTGAGGTTCTCAATCATCAGCTCAATCATCTTCTTATATACAGGCATATAATGGTCCTTAATCATATTTGGTGATAAGCGAATTTTACCATATAAATGTCTTGGAGTTTCGTACATGCTAATATTCGATTCATCAACAACAATCTTACCAGAATTCGCATCCAATACTTGTTCTGCTACTAAATGCCTAATTCTACCAGGAGGAAAGAAGTGGATCTCCTCTGCTGAAACTGGCTGTTTGCTCCCGATATTTCCATAAACAGATTTTTCTTCGTCTATTCTATCTTCTGAAGCTGAAGCACCAGAAGCTTCTTGTTGCCTCTGAAGCTCCTTTCCAAGCTCAAGCCATAATTCTCTTTCAATCATTTCTTCTTCAGTAGCAGCAACAAAAATTTTGTCCGGCTGCATCGAAGCATCTTCCTCGGTTCCATTGCAGTAGTACTGATTACTACAGGAACCAGTGTGATCAATTTGTTCAGCAAAAATTTCATCAAGATTTTGTTTGATCACTGAGGAATCCATATCCTTTATTGGCAAGTTTCTACCTTGGTGGTCAATCTTCTCTTCATGGCAAGAGAGAATGCCTAGACAATCCATGCACCTAGCAAATGTCAGGACAGCTTGCTGTGCATTTCTGAGAAGGTTCTGGAAGGTTAAACAGGACATGAAATCTCTCATTTGATGAGATAGATCATAGAGATCAATAATAACCAAGCATTGACTTGTGTATTGTTAGATAATGGTCCTCAATTTAAGTTGTTTCTTGTATGGCTTGTATAGTCAATAGTGTAGCTTTTGGTGTTGCTATTTTGTGTTTATAAATAGGAGCTTTAGGCTGTAATAGGATGGTTAAGAAATAGAAATCTGATTTAGTGCTCTCCCTCTCCCCTTTCCTCTCCCTCCTCTCCCAAGAAGCTCATGTAGGAAGGGTTTCTTCCTCTCAAGCAAGATCTAGCATGTATAAAACATAAAGCATCAAAGCTGCAAAGAGGATTGCAAGTGGTCATACCTGGCTTTTACTGGATATTGTTTGAGCACATGAAGTAAATGGTTGATGCATTTGATCACGTAGGTCATTTAGCCAAGAGGAAGCTGCCACCTGATCGGGTAAAATATTAAAACATGCGATCAGATCGTAAAATTAGATCAAGAACTTGAAGAGTTTCATTGAATATTATAATAGATTTGATTCTCAAAATGTTGAATATACTAAAGCAAAATTAGTAGGACATGGGCAATCATTTTGGGGAATTGTTCCTGCTAAATCTAAGTTGATTGATATGAAACATAAGCTTCACGAGTAGTATTTGTTTAAATTGGTGATTAAGAATCAATTGATTATAATTTAGGGAATATAAACAAAGTGATTTTAAAGTGTTTGAATGCCATGCAGAGTTCATAGGTCGTGTGATTGAATATTATTTGCCTCTATACTATTATGTTATTATTATTTATTTTATTAAGGGACTTAGGTGATCAATTAAGGATGTATTAAGATGCAACATTCCAAAGATATTACCTAGGAATTTATATAGATTTTTTAATATTGGTGAATATTATAATCATTCTATTAGAACTATTAAATCTATAATTAATGCCCTTTAAAGATAAATCAATATTACTTCCTCTAAAACCCATCAAACTCACAACAATACAAAGATCATGCATGATTGAATATAATCTTATTAATAAAATTATAGTTTAGGAATTTCCTATTGAGCATGTTTTAGATATAGTAGATGATGATAGTTACAGTATAAATCTTCATCTAATGTTACAGAATTGGAATCTAAACCTACAATAGGACATGTTTGTGATCAAAATTTATAATTGACAAAAGTGCTAAGTTTTGAAATTGAAATAGAAACTGAGCATGGATCATATATGAACATGAACTTCCAATAGAAATTGAGTCTACTACTTGATTTGATATCATACCTACTGTAATTGGTGAACCAATTAAGCAAATTGAAAATATTACCCTTGATTAAATTTCTAATGAGAAAAGGGCAAAAAAGATCCCTCAACTCTTTGCGAGGGATTAAAATGGTCTCCAACTCTTTTGAGAGACCAAATTCGTCTCTCAACTCTCTAAAATGGGACATTTTTATTCTGATATTTAATGTTGGAGTTAATTGTGTTAAATGTAAGTATATTTTGGTCATTTTTTAATTAAGCATTTATAAATATAATTTTCAAATAATTATAAATTTTCTAAAAGAATTTATTAAATATTTTTTTAATAAAAAATTAATAATAATGTTAGTTTTAATTTTTAAGCATGCTGAGGATTTGCAAGACCACCACTAATTGTACAAAGGACATTTGGGAGAGGAAATATGAGATGATAATTAATAAAGCAACAATTGGTCATGATTGATAATTTATAATAAGCATACCTCTTGAAGTGGGTTTGAACTTTCTAATCATGAAATCAATTAATCAGAAATCATGCTGCATTCATGATTCTTTTTTAATTTCAGTCTCAAATTTATAAATTGACATTTATCTGAGTCATGCATGAGGTCTTCCTCCTAATTACCCATGCATATCATTGAAACGTGAAAAATTCAATGTAGAGATTCACATATTCGTAGTTCACCTCAAGTCGGAGGTTGTCAGCGGAAACAAGTGAAAACGTTGGCACCATATCAGAACCATTAATGATAGTGGTGATGAAGTTCTGTCCAGATTCCGCAAGGTCCCATGTCATGCATGCAGCTGCCAAACACTAAGCAATGTTAACTTCTCTTCAGAATCAAAAGATTTTCTGCGAAATCATTACAATGCAAGCAAACAAGGAAGTTTAGTATGTTAGGCTGCAAACAAATGGAGTAATTCGTACTATTTTTTTCATGATAAAGCATGCCCAGTACCTAATTCAAGTAGCAAACTGAACCCAACTACACCGGACTGGCAATCCCTTATCCTAAACCAGCTCGAGTGACACACAAAGCCTTCCCACAATCACGTTAATCACCCGGCTGGCGCGGTCTCTGTTTCCATCAAGCGTGAAAATCTCACATCACCCAACCACCTCTGATGCGAGTTAATGAGGCGATAGCTATGACATCGAACCTCTCCCCATTTTCTTCACCCGAGCCACCAAAACTCCCCATGCTCTCTCTCTCTCTCTCTCTTACTATAAGCCGACAATAAAAAACCTACTCCCTCGCTGCAAGCCATCTCCCTCTTCTTCTTCTTCCTCAACCAAGAGAAATTGAAAACAAGTCCTCTCTCCTTGTCTGCCTCTTTGAATGAGAGGTGACAACAAATCTTCCTCTTCTTCCCAAAATCAATCCTCTTCTTTCTTGTCTTATGTTCTTTTTAAACTCAAAATATAATTTCATCTTTTTAGTCCAATTAATCTAAAAATGAGATTAAATATTTTAGTATTACCTACTCTTAAGATGAGATTAAATTAGTTTAGGTTTTATTTAGGCAGTTAAAATATTTTTTGTGTTGGGAAATATATTTGGAGAAATAACGATTCAGTACACAAGGATGGGTCAAATCATTACAATGATTATTTAAGGTCGATTATTTAGGTTTTATTTTTATTGACTAACACTTGGTTTTTAATGCCTTTCTTTGTGTATTGATAATTGATTGAAAGTTTATATTTATGAGCAATAAAATAAATTTAATATTACATGAATTCATTTTATATTTATTTAATTTGAATAATTACTATAATTTTTTTAAAGATATAATATTATAATATTATGTCCAATGTGTGTCCATATCCTACTTTTTTAATAATAGGTGTATCCTGTCCATGTCCATGTCCCTATGTTTATGTTGATGCATCATATATTGACGCTAAGTATACCCACACTTTTCAACATATTTGAAGAATCTATTAAACTAGGATCATAGAAATTGTTTGAAGACATATGGAGCTTTTCAGAGTATATGTTGGCATTTTTATTGACATCTTTGATTTTCCAGTCCATATGAGATCTCTATGTATACTTTCTACTCAGGCTTTGTTTGTTTGAGCTTTTTTTTGCCTTCTCCGTTTCCTAAAATGGAGGAAATTTTTTTTTGTGTTGTTTGGTTCGTCAAATCACGTTCCCAATAACTCCTTTTTCTCATTTTTCTGAAGTTTTGAGAATGCTTTTTAAATGTGCTTCTCCGTTAGAAAACTCCATTTTCTGCACTAATGTTTTTTAAAACTGTGTTTTACAAAAGCACAAAAAAAACAAACGAAGCCTCAATGTCCCTATTATAAAAGGCATTACTAATTTCAAGGAGATGTAGAAGCCAATCCAAATTTATCCTAAGAGAGAGCAAAACTCAAATTGTACTAAGTTTGTAACAGGTGAGAAAACTTTTTGATAGTCAATATCATAAAATTAAGTGTAACATTTTGCAACAAGTTAAACTTTAAATTTATCCATGCTTTGATCTAATTTATACTTGACTTTTAATGATCCATTTGCAACGATTTTTTTTTTCCTAGTGAAATTAAGATACTTACCATGTATCATTCTTTCTAAGGCCTGAATTTCTTCCATTATAGCTTTCTTCCACTTCGGGGTCCTGAGGCTTCATGAACATTATTTGATATTTGTATTTTATCAACCGAAGTGATTAAAGCACGAAATCGAGGAGAAAGCCCATTATAAACCATACAACTATAAATTGGATGTTTGGTACATGACCTCACTACCTTTCTTAAGATAATAGGACTATAGAGATTGTTAACATCATTAATTAATTTATTCTCACTATTTTGGTCCTTGAACCAAGTTTGAGTTCTTGTTGTGCTAGAGATATATTGGTTAATCCTCTTCTTTGTTTTCTCTTTTTCCTCTTAGCATAGAAACGAAGCTCAATCACAATAAGTTAGGTGTATTGATGACGTGATGATGGATTTTGAGGTTCTAGTGAGGATTCAATATGTTGAATATATTAATAAGTTGATGAAGGAGTTTACAGTATTGGCGAGGCCTCAATAAGTTGAAACTTGAAAGTAAAGCAATGCAAAATGTTATTTATACATGGGCTTGATTAGAAATGATAGTGAATGATCAAATAAGTTCAATACTTAGAATTCTTGTTCTTAAATTTCCTTCCCCTAAATTCTTGTTCTTAACTTTTGGATCACTTTGGGGGTGTGCATAGCAATTAATCTGCAATGGAATGCTTGAAATAGCACTTCATCAAGAAGTATGCTCATTAAGATATGGTGGAGACAAAAGTCCTGGATAAATGCAAGTATTTACATTCACATATATGAAAATAATCTTGCAAAAATTTGTGTTTGAATTCGGATGATACATACCTGGAGCAAATGCAATACAGGTGGCCGAAGCAAAATCTTTGTGTTCATGAAGAATGTAGGTTAATATTGCAGCAATGCCAGCGCCTAAAGAATTGCCCACAATCTGGTGATATCAAAACGAGGGTTAATACATAATATTAGCCATTATCCTGTAACAAAATACTATAAACACAGAAATCAGTAACTCATTGATGCTCCGAAGAGATTATTGCACAACATAGAGTGATTGAATCATAAAAATGCTTCATCTTCGGTTCAAGTTAATGCTTGACTGATTGTTTAAGAATCAACACATCTTCAGCAAAGAAATGAAAGCACCATTTCAAGTTACAGTTTGACTTTATGAAACCAGGATGTAGAAAAACTGTTGGAGGCCGCTGGGACTTTTGGATTAAAAATCAATAGCCTTTTTTGTCCTATCAAAAATCGAGGTCAAAATTCAATGAAACATAGACCATCTCATAAACTCCAAGAATATTCTGAAATTGATAGCCTTTAATAGTCATGTGTATTAACTAAACATTGGATAATCAATAACCCTAAGCCTCACAAACACACTTAATAACTTGGAAAAGACCAAAACAGAAACTTCTCTTCTTTCCTCTTGATCATTATCCCTAATCAGAACATTATTACTTTAAGCATGGTTTTACACAACCAAGTTTAATGGCATCCATCGGTGTTGCATATTTTGCTAATTTTAGTAATACTATGCAAATTTCTCTAGCTCATTATAACTTAATATAGCTTTTCCATCATAAGACACTATCAAAGTTTGATCAGTTCATAATGGTGCCAATAACCAATAAGTTCATAGGATTACACATCGGTAAACTAGCTTGGAGTCCTTTTACCATGGGTTTTTCAGTTTATATTTGTCATCAGAGATTGTTTATCTTTTTCATCTAGCATTTTTTCTTAGCATATAAAAACCAAGGAGCCAACTTATCCAAGGGGTCTCAAATCACATCCGACACATATTACATTCATGAACGCTATATGTACCACATGGGATATCCTAAAAATGATATCAGATGTTTAGTAGCTTTAAAAAAAGCTTTTAGATACCACATTCATATATTATACTGAATTGAGCATTTTTAGACGACAGATGGATGCATTTCAAATACAGAAAAATTACTATCCCATATACTGAATACTATTACAGAGCAAGTACTAGTCACCTTTATTATTTATGTTCTTGCAAACTATGTGCGCTCATATGAAGTAAATATTGTACAACAATGCATTGTTTTTGTAATTGTGACTGACCATAAGAGTATGCATATTTAATTACATTTTTACATGGTGCTCATATCAGTAGAAGCAAGCATGCAATAAACAGAATTTTAGTATCGTGATAGTGCTCTTTTCGAATTATAAATGCAGATAGGAATGAGACATTAGTCATTAGGTCAAGGTTACAAATCGGAAGAAATACAAGAAATCTTCAGCGGGAGATTGCTCAGATTATTCTTCTTCTGATGAAATTTCGGGTAAAAAAGCTTCAGGGACATTGATGATGCAGTTATTCAACTTATACATAGAGCCCTCTACCTTGAATTTGTAGGCAGGATATTGTTCAACTGCTTTAAGGATATAAGGAGTTGCACATTTTGCAATCCAATGGGCAGCAGAAACCATCCCATAATGTGCATATCCCGATACCACTTTAGTAATGCCAAATTCGTCCAAAATTGAATGGTGAAAAGGAACCACCAAACCAATTGCAGCAGTCAATGTATCCTTGATACTATGCAACCCCCGAACAATAAGGAGAATGCATTTTGAACTTTTATCACGTAAAATGGTAAAAGCAGGCTTTAGTAGCTGCAGAAATTACCAAGAAATTATGCGTTATCGATCATTTAATTTGGTAAACTCAGTCAAAGAAGCAAAGCTAAAAATAGTGATTGAAAAGAATACAACCAAGTGATATTCTTAATATTTACGCACCCCCGCTTTATGCTTTCGAAAGAGAATATCCTCCGGACAATAGTTAGAGCATTTTAAAAAGACTGAGAAAGGTTTCTTTGAAAAGACTATGCAAAGATCCAACAACCTTGACAGATAGATCAACTCGTCCATAAGTTCTGGTCCTTCTAATTTGATATAATTGCTTCCGCCAAATACACTTGCTACTTGTAAGCCCTGAAAGGCATGCAATCATTGTAATGATCATTTAAGTTAGACGTGTATGGAATGATGTCAGTCAATTATCAAAAGCTAAATAATTACTGATCACTTTCTCAATGCAACATACAAACTAAAAAAGGATTAAAAAAATACTACAATTATCTATTATTTGCACTTGACAATGGTTTAGAACCTCATTATGCATTACATAATATAGTCGCTTGTTTTTAAAACCATGCAAAAATGATAGCATTTTCACAACTTTATTTTATCAAATTTTGAGGATTTATACAATATAATCAAACAGATGATATTAAAAATTTTCTATTTGACTAGTACATTTATTTCAATTTCATTTCTTAAAACCTGAGAATTCTTCTGTAAGGGACTCTAATCATTAATGAACATTTACCGATTGATAAATGGTTTAAATAATTAAAATTTTGAATTTTTGTCCCTGTAATACTATATAAGAATCTTCATATATTAATTTTCGCACAACAAACTGAAAGATAAAACTATGATGCCGCTTCTGCAAAACAATGCTGTGACGTCTACCTTTTTTCTGCAACTTCTTCGATTTTAGTGTTAAAACTTATTATGTTAAAAGTTTATCTAATTTTTAGGATACTATACCATTAGCAGTAGCGGCAGCTTTACCTTAACTATCCAGGGTTCTGTTTATGACTCCTTCGCATTAATTGCTGCAAAAGAAATTTATTGAAATGTAATTATTCAATAAGGATGTCCTATCCATTTTTGGCAGCTGTATTTAATAAAGAAAATTGAAGAACATAAAATGAAATTCAGATAAATCTGTAAATTTATAGTGATTTAGAACCTCTGGCTATAGGTTTTCATTTTTATTATTTTTTTTTTTTTGGGGGGGGGAATATAGGTTTTCATTCACTTCATTCATTTCCTAAAAATCTGATTCCTCGCATCCAAACAGAGCTTTTATTTCTCCTATCATACATCGTACAATTTGCATGGTTCACGTCGTCTCCAACCTTACCCGATTGCACTGGTAAGGCTTGTTATATAATATGATAGATGTTCTTCCTTCAAAATAATGGATTTTTTTATGAGAAGCGGTTCTTGTTATAATTCATATATGCATTCTTAATTCTTATAAACATTACCTAATGGATAACAGAACTATCTTTTCCCATCTAAGGTGCAGAGTTAAACGCCAATGTACAATGATCAAATCTAAGCAGTAAATGACTAAAACCCCAACAAAAACAACAAAATCCAAAGGGTTTCGATCCAATTTTAACATTTCCCGATCCAAAACAAGCAAAAGTTTTCATCTAGCATAATAAAAATCCAACAAATCATCATCATCAAACCATCATAACAATGACAGGGAACCATGTCAGCAAGTCAACAAGAACTAGTCCCAGTAGCTCTTAATTTAAATCCACCTACCTGCTTTCTCATATGAATCCTGATGCCAAAAGCTAAATCTCCAATCGGCCACCTCCCAAGGGTTTCCGAGTAAGTGAACCGGATCGTCTCCGCTACTGTCGCCACAGCCTCCTGCCAAGTCGAAGGTGGCTCCGCCGGTCGCCAAGACAATCTCCTTTCCATCTCCGCCTCTCTCGACCTCTGTTCTCTGCTGCGGCTACCAGCAGAAGAGATCCCCTTCTCATCCCCATCTTCCTCCCGCTTCACCATGCAAGGCCGGTTCAGCACGATACAGAGCAGCATGGCCACTCCGGCGGCGGTCGCCGTCGACGCCACCGCCAATGTCGTCGTCACCATCAGGGTTCAATTCAAAACCCTAGATTGGAGGAGATGGCAAGTGATGCATTGATGAGGTTTCAGATCGAACTGCGCCCGCCGCCCAGCGGGGGAAATTTTGTGGGGAGACGGAGACAGGCAGACAGCGCTAACAAATTCGAGTTTTTTAACTACAAGCCAATATTCGTGCTATTTTCTCCTTAGCAACTTCCGATAATGGTACTTCTATAAATAACATGAAAATTGCAAAACAATTTGTGGAATCGCATGTGTGGATTGATTTAATTCAATAATTTTTATATAAATATTATAAATTTAATATAATATTATTACACTGTGATTTGCCAGGATTAATAAAACTAATCATTGGTTTTTATAATTTGTCACAAACATAAAGCTAACTCAATCAATATATTCATTGCTAAAGCTTCTTCAACAGTTGTTGCCTACATAACCTATCTCCCAGACCAGTCTAATATATATGTAGTTCTCGACCCGAAACCAGTTACTGTACTGTTTTAGAATGAATTTCAATAAGTAAAGTAATCTGGTGGAAGAGGCCCTCCTCACCACTCTCCTCCCCCCATCGTAGATGGTTCAGCCACGCCCGGTGCCTGGGCCTACGTATCGTCTCGAAGAAAGCAAGAAAAAAGGTACACTTTACCTTCCTGTACTACTTTTTTTTCTAAAGATCATTTTTCCCCTGAAGAATGGACTCGAACGCTTCCACTCCTACGCGGACGCATAGAAAAGGATAGTCTACTCCTTCTTTATGCCTTCTCATTCAACGAATTGAATCTATCCATTCTTGCCGAAACCCAATAGAGGACTTGACTGAGGAGGAGGAGCGCTTTCTATATAAAAAAAGTCTTTCTAGATTTCGAGTGCTGGTTGGTCGAAGCTCCAGTGGGTAGCCACTCCATTCTCAGGGAACCGTACGTGAATATTCTGCATCATCCATTCTCGAAGGTTCTCGCATTCGATTCAAGGAGATGAAAACTGTGCCTTGCTTAGAAGTCAAACTACGGATATGCAGCCCGAAAACCCAGCTTTTCACAGCACACAATCTTAACGTCCATGAGAACCAACGACAAAAGTCACCTTGACTATTATAAATCTAAAGGACAGGGGGTGCTCGAAAGCCATATCTCGCTTTTCTCTGTAATATTGTACTGGACCACTTTATCCATCCCCCTCTAGAAAAATGATCAAAAAGGAACTGTCCTAGTTCTACCGTATCATTTGTTTCATTTCTTCTGGAAAAAAAAGAAAAACTTTTTTGATTCTGGATCTACTACCAGAAATTCAATACAATATTTAGTAATCCCGAATGTGTCACTTGCTCACCGCCCTGAGGACCCTGTCACCGGATTTCTCCTGTTGGTCGGGTCAATTCATTATCCCGAGCAAGAGTGATCTACTCTGTACCTGAGGATTACGGGGATGAAAGTCCTAGATCTTCCCGCTCATCTGACACTGAAAGGAAAAAGAGTAATGGCGGGACTCCCCAAAAACCCTTCCTTAGTTTGGAAATGATTATCTGCGCAAGAACTTCTCGCAAAAAGACCACTTCGAGCAGATGTCACGCGCTCAGGAAGAAAACGAGTGAATCTGACACAAACAAAGAATTTTCTATTCAATAGATTGTGAACCTTGCAAGCATCCTCTTCTATTGAATTTCATGTCTATCGCTCCTGTCACCGGATTTCTCCCGCCGGCAGGGTCAATTCACAGAATATCCCTTTGGATACGGCACCTGGTCGTACTCGAGTGGGTACGGGCGACCTTTTCTTACCAATTTCTCTGCCTACTCTCTGAGCTGTTGTTCTTAGTTGTACTGGGTTGTACTTTGTTGGTGCCAAGCTTTCCCCTCCCCCGCCTCAGACATAAAGGCTGCAGCCGTCCCTGTGTACGGCGTAAACTCTGAAGAATTTTCTGGAACGTCAAGGGAGATGTAATGCCTCATTTATTAATGACAATCTCAATCGTCTAAGATTTCATTTTGAAATAATATTTTCACTGCTTTCTAAAATAATTTTACAATATCAAAAATTTTATTTCAAAATTTTTTGTACTAAAAAGTTACCTTAAAAAGCAGTAAGAAAATCGTCCTAAACGAAACCTAAGTCACGCCTGATGTGATTAGTCAAGATCATCTTAGTTAGCAGTAGATGAGTCTAATTAGGCTTCTACGATTATCTAGAGTCCATCCCCTGACGCCTTCATTTCATCTTATAATTGTGATAAAGATACTATAAGAAGGCACGTAAACCTCAAAATCACATACTCAAAGAATTTCTAACGGGTTTTGTATTAAATTGATTGAATCAAAAGTCATTAAGGCATAAATCCAGCCGGCCCAATTTATAGAATCTATATGATTTGTTCATTCATCCTGTCTGAGAAATTAGCCTTTGCCGCCATCGTGTGGAATTAAAAAGAATGCTGTCGGATATTCCTTGCAGGACCGGGACGGCACCAGAATCCACAGCATCTTTAATTATTGAAAATGGGAAGCGAATCTCAATTTTCGTGGTTCGTAGGGACCCAAATGAAAATTTCCTTGCAATTTTAGGCTTCGTTTTTAAGAAAATTTCAGTTTAATAGAATTTTTAGTTTATAAAACAAAAATATTTAATTCACAAAAAATTTAAACTAAAAAACTGTTTTAAAAAATAGCTAAAAAAAAAGAAAGCAGACTCAAGCAAAGTTTAAAATTTTATTTGAGATGACTTTTTTACTACTTCTAAAAACAATTTTTTATTATAAAAATTAAATGTAAGAAGCACTAAGAAAGTCGTGCAAAATAAAACCTAAAGTTTCATTTGAGATAGCATTTTTATTATTTTTTAAAATAAATTTTGTATAAAAATTTTTTGAATTAAAAATTTTGAACTAAAAAGTTATCTTAGAAAATAATAAAAAAATTGTCATAAAAGAAGCCTAAGATTTGAATTGGATTAAAAAAAAAAATAATCCAATTCAAGAATTAGAAGTCTTGAGTGATTTTTCTCACGATAAATATCAACTTTAATTTTCATCTTGATATTCATTATATAATATAATATAATGAGTGCAAACTAAATAATGTACCTTTTAAAATACTACAAATAAAACAACGTTGGTACTATTATTTCTATCATAGATAAATAATAAGTTTTTTATTATATATATAATCATTGCCTCGCTTTGCAATCATATAGACCATGCAAGCCACCATCGTCACTCGCTACTACTAATCACCATCCCTGACTGTTGAGGTCGCTTGCAATTGTTCGTTATCACCACCATTGCTGAAGGACAGTCTCCCACAAATGAAAACCATTACGTGCATATCGCCACCACCACCGACCACTGCATCCAGCATTACATTAAATTTAATTTACTTCAAACTAAATACAAAAAAGTAAATAATCTATTGCATTTATTTTACGCTTAACTAAATAATTCAAATAACTATACTTATTTATCATTTCTTTCCTTTTACTCTATATATATATTTTTTCAGCAAATCAAGCTCCTAGGGAGGCATTATTCTGTGCAGTCACCGAACGGTTCAGAGACGAATCAGGATGTGTCACATCACTCGGTACACAGTAACAGTACATAACTAAAAAGTAACATGAAGCGTCCTAATTTGCTTCCGGACTGTGCCCGGTGACCACACAAAATAATTTCACCCTAGGAAGAGAGGGTGGCTTTCCCAGCCTAAATTAGGTTGAGATTAAAAGAAATCAAAAACATTCAACCACTTCAATTGTTTGTCCAAACAACGCAGCATAGTTCTGTTTCCTTCATGTGGCCTAATAGGAAGAAGAATACTGACTTCTTTTTTGCTGGCAAGGCCTAAACTCTTACAAGCTAAAAAATAAGTTGCCAGAAACAAAAACCTGGCGATCAAATTATTCAAAATGAATAAGCGATAGGAAATAATAATAGGGAAGCTGAAGCGTGTGTAAAACCAGTTGGTTGAAATCATGAGTAGCATTGGCTGGGCAGCTAAGTCATCCCATGTCAATCAGATGGCCCAATCATTTTCTCTGGCACAACCAGCTCATCAAATTCTTCACTACTTAGCACTCCCAGATTCAATGCCGCAGCCTGCATGCAAAAGCAATTAAGGGCAATCAGAACATGCAGGAAATTTGATAAGCAATAAAAAAGTCTTAAACATATACACCTGTAGTACATTCCCATAACATGATAAACAATAAAAAAGTCTTAAATAATATGCTTCCAAAGATAATTTGATAAGCACATGATAACAATCAAAAAGACTGATAAAAGAGGAAGCTGTCCGATGGTATGATTTTCATTGGTAGAGATCAGTTTTGCTAATATGATTGCCAGTGGTGGGTAGGTTCGAATAATCAGTATGATTGCCAGCTGATAAGTGGTCAAAACTTTTCCGATTGTCATCATCGAGTGAACTTTTAAAATTTGTCATTCTTCATGAGCCTAAGATCTGATACAAACTGATGTAGTGGAATCATTGAAGAAGGATACCAAATAGCTCAAAGAATAAATACAGTGAAAATACTATAATTTTCCAAAAATACTCAGACCCTCCTTCTTCCTTACATAGTTTTATAAACATAACAAAAGAACTTTCTAGAAAGTTCTAGAAAACAGGTATATTATTCTTAAGATGAACCACATCCATCTACCTCTAATTCAATAATAAAATGTCATTGATTATAATTTTACATAGGATTCCATTGACTTGGGACACCACCACTGACTACTTCAAAGCTTTACCACAAATAGTCTATATAATTGTCAATCTCTATTGTTCACCACCATCTCAGCCATTAACTTGTCGTTAGCTTTAGCCCAGGGAACTAAAGTGATTATATAAGAAAAACCATCAATCACATATTTTATAAGCATTTAAAGGCGATCGATAGAAAACAAATTTGCTATGCTTAAGCATGGGTTTATGCAGTTTATTTTCCAATGAATTCGATTCATAACTTTCATCGAATTACATCAGCTAGAAATTAGATTTTGAACACCATGCTGTCAAGGATTGATTTATCAAGAAAATTGGTGCGGAAATTATTTTCCACATTTGATAATCTCCTAATTGTACACTAATTTTCAATATGTTGTCAAGATAGTGAAATCTCTATTCAACACCTCTCTCAATCAACCTTAGGGGTTAACTGAGGCATTACAATACCTAAATTTATCCGT